GCATAATCAACTTATCAGGGGATAATAAATGTTCCGTTCATTTTACTCGTTCGAACTACAACTTAAAGTTCTGCTACAATATTTTCTCTTACGTTAATTTACCTTTTCACTCAAATTTCTGCTACAATATTTTCTGTTACGTTAATTTACTTTTTCACTCAAATTATTTGCTCAAGTCACTCGAGGTCTTGGTTGAGATGAAAATTAAGGTCTGTTTAATTTGCTGATTCGAGTTTTTAATTCGAGTTTAGATATAATTTTATGTGAACTTTTTACTATAACAAAAAAATTAAATATGACTGTTTCTAAGAGTTTTTTACTATAACAAAATTTAAATCGATAAAATAAACTCGACCTTAGACGACCTTGTAGTCTATTTCCCGTTTCAAAGACCCGGGAGGGAAACTGTACCATTATTATTATTACTTGAAAAAGAAAACTTTTTATCCGAAATTAATTACAGCTCGGCATATATAAGTGGATTGCTGATAGGCTTGTGTAATTGATTTTCTTTTAAATATATTCAATGCTCGTTTCTTTTAGGAACAACTGTTAATAGGCATGATTTGAGCAAAAAAGAAAAAAGAAGAAAACTATTAATAGGCAGGGAAAGAAAAAAAAAAACACAGAACTTTTCCATGCAACAAAACTTTTAAGAAGGTTAAATAATTCTAGTTTTGATTGTTTGTACTGGTAAAGAGCTTGCTTACAATTGTTAGTAACTAGTATCTTAAATTGTTTAGCAACCAAAAAAAAAACCTAGTATTTTTAACTTTTAACAAACATTTATAAGAGTTAAAAATAAGTTTATTAACCAAAAAATTATTAAATATTATGTGAATAAAAAATTAATAAATATTGATGAAAGAATTACTAGTAATAAATCCCATGGATTCAGAATTTACTAGGCATAAATTCAAGTAAATCCCAAATTTACCAAATTCGATCATGAAATAGATATGATAAATCTCAGATTTACTTCTATTTACTATCTTACCGAAAAAATTCTACCATTTTACCTCCGTAAAAAAAACAAAAATCTATTTACCACATCTCCCCAAAACTTCCAAGCGTGAGAAGAGCTTATTCAATTAGTTGGGTCACCATTTATCAAATAGCCCAAGGTCAAGGTAGCAAAGAGGAAGACTGTAATGTGCATCAAACTGCTACTGCAGTCTCCTCTTCGCGAGGGGGCCTCCATTTTTGACCAAATGCACTCCTTTCCACAACATACTTGGCCTTCACCTTGTCATCTTGGTCCCTTAGCCTCTCGTCAATGATTTGAAGCAACTCTTGCAAACCAACTCCTGTTAACGCGGATGTTTTGACATGTGGACCAGACTGATCTACTTGAGAATGACGCGATTCATTCGAACACTGAATTTGTTGGGCATCCGTAGTCTTCTGTGGGACAAAAGAGCCATCCTCATCACTCAAAGGGTTTTGGTCATCTTCCGATGACAAACAGCCATCAGTGTAGTCATCTTTTGCGTCATCCATAGCTTCAACATTGTCTGTTGATAGTTCGTAGGCATCGGAACTGTCGGCCTGATTGTTTCCAGCACTTAGTGATTGCTCAGACGCCATATCGTCCTCTTCTTCTCCGGAAAACTCGCTAGCTTGACCATCTTCAGCATCATCAGGATATTCATCTCCGTCCATACCCCCCTCTTGATTATCAATCTGAGAATTTCATATCATAGCACTCGTTATGAATATTCTATCTTACATGCAAAACAGAAGGGATAAAAAAAAGGTGTTTGGGATAATACCTTATTCCAAACTTCAATCATATCGTCAACCTTCTCTTTTGATACCCCAATTTGCTCAAGAACGCTAAGTACAGTTGACCGGTGCTCCTCAAGATTGGGGGCAGTACAGTCCAACACATGCTATTAGAATTAATTAAACCAATTAGGCACATCTTTGGAGACAAAACTAACCCTAAAATGATTTCCCATTTCATTTATCTAGTGATTGATTTTTGTATCATATCCAAAACAGGTATTTTCTGTTAAGAGTGACTTCTAATATAAGCCAATAAACAAACAATTATCCATACTTGTGAACTTCAATTGATCTGTCTACTTTACTAGTCATTTGCGGGAGAGAAATTATGAAAGTTGCCAAATCAAGATTACATTATTAAATTAAGTTCATTGATAACGATAATATGTTTTAAAGACCATTGCAGATTTGGGAGCATACCACAAGCAGATCAGCTTCCGCCACCTCTTCTAAAGTTGCATGAAACGCTTCAACTAACTGCAAATTTGAGTTGCCTTAATAATGAAGAAGAATAGTGATAACATATAGTGCAACGATAAAGCACTTAACCTTCTATCAGAGGGGAATAAATGGAGACCATTTAAACCAGCGGTTTTACAATATACCTGCACTGGCAAATTTGATATGAATCCTACTGTATCACTTAGGAGCACTTTCCTTCTGGACATGACATAAACATGATAAGATCAGCCGAAATAAGCTCTAGAGAAGTGCCACAATTGAACAAAACAGAGATCAAAATAGAAATCATTCCTTAAAAATATTACCCTGAAGGAAGAACTGCACTTCTTACAGTCGGATCCACAGTTGCAAAGAGTCTACAGAAAAATAGACATCAATATTTATTATATTTCCCTTCTTTTTTTAATATGAGAGAAGACAAAACTATAATACATCTATTGCTGAAACAAAACTATAATACATCTTGAAAGTCAAATTTCAATGTTTAATATACATATGGCTCCGCAATCCAAACACATATCATAAAAATGGATTACATTACCGGTCATCACTATAGAGAGGACTGTCTGAGAGTGCACTGACTAAAGTTGATTTCCCCTGTTAATAAGAGCAGAATTAACAATTACAAGTTAAAAGCAAGAAGCAAACATGATCTCGCTCTGCTTTCAGAGAACCAAGTAGATCAGTATCAGATCTTAGAAAAAAGAAAGTTAAAACAAGAGGTAGTTATAATTTTGTTCAGATAACATACGGCATTTGTATAGCCAACAACAGCAACAGTAGGTAAACCTTGACCATGTGATCCACCACGTCTCTTACGAGAAGCCCGTTGCAACGCTCGAGTACGACGAACCTCTTCAACTTGTGTTAACAAAATTTTCCTCCGTTCTGAAATTCTGACATTATAATGCTACAAGTGAAAACTAATGAAAAAAGAAATTTTAAAGAACCATAAATGAGAGCAATAATCCAAAACTACATCTCATATCCAAGTAACCAAATGGTAAATCTATCTTAAACTAAAACGTATCGATGGCTGTATGTATCTACTACTAAAAACAAAAGTTTCTGAAAATCAGCAACATATATTCTTCATCAAACAACTTCTCTAGTATGAAAGGAAACAAGAGATCAGTGAATGAAACCTTCGTCGTTGAAGTTGAAGTTCAGTTTCTCCAGCACCACTTATAAATCCACGCCCACCACTTCCTCTCCTGCAGTTGAAATCCAACAGGTCAAAAAACTTTTCCAACAGTGAATAACTAATTCACAAAACTCATTGGTACATTTTTCTTTTAACGCATAATCCCAGTCACTTTCTGCTTTCACTACATGTTTATGCTTCATCATTGTTATTTCACAAACATAAAAACGAGGCAATATACTACCCCCGGGCGCTAACAACTTCAGCTTCTCCATCGAATCCAAAAGTGTAGCGTCCATCGTCGCTACGAACACGAACAAGTCTGCTTTTCTTGTACATTAGAGCTGCTAATTCAGCCTGTAAGAAACCAGGTCCTTCAGGGCAAACTCCTCTCAAAAGTTGAAAGTTGAAAAGTAAAGATTCTAAATCCTCAAGGAATGATGACAGCAATACCTGTAACTTTGCCTCTTTTGTGTAGGCATGAGCATTGAAGATCTCAATTATAAGAGCCACACGGTCAAGCACAGGTTTGCCCCAAGCTCTCTGCCATTAAAAGGAAAAAAATCAATTTCTTCAAAAGAAGGAAAAAAAAAATCCCACCAAATGGAGGAGAAAACTTGCCTCCAAATTCCTTTGCTGATGCCCGGATAAAATTGTGTTTACAAAAACAGCATCCACCACACCCTGTTAACACTATAAGTACTGTAAAATCTCAAACAAAGACCCACAAAGAAAAATTTTAAATTTTAAATTTTAAAATTAAAAAAATACTACCTTTGATTCCAAAAGATTTAGCTGGATTTTAACATTTTCCACTGTCCCTAAACCAAAATATGTGTCTGCAAGAGGCAAATTCAAATACACCACAGATATAATCATAAAAAATAAAAAATAAAATAAAAACACAATGCAGATTACTATTACAATCCAAATCACAAAACTGAATAAAAATCGAAAATTTTCTCAATTAGAAAGGTCGAAATTCAAGACGTACCAGCGCGTGCCTTGTGGCCTTTAGCCGAAGGGTTTTGAACGACAATGTGGTTAGGAACGTCCTTGTCGGAGTAATCGACGCCGAAGCCGCCGTCACGCTGTTCTTCTAGAGAGTTCGCGAGGCAGAGAGCTTCGTTGAGCTTGGCCTGCAGAATGGGCTCCGGACGGAGACGGGGCTGAACCACGAACAGCTTTGGGAGATTTTCAAGGCCCGGAACATCCTCGTACGCCGTCGAATCACTGGAGTACGGCGCCGACGGAACCCTTATCGGCGGCGCCGGGAGGATCCGGCCGGAGCATGATAGCGATAGGAGAGAATTGAGTGTTTGGAAGAGAGGGCTCAGAAGACTAGGACGTGAGAGAGAAATGGCTCTCATCATTTTGATCGAAGCTTGGTTTCGAAATGAGATATTTCTTCTTCTGAAAATCGGAAATGTTTTTCTAAGCTTCTGACGAGAGTATGGAGGGTACAGGCGAGTGTGGAGATTACGGTTTGTCGTTTGAATAAACCGACATCCGAAAATACGACAG